AAAGTTCTCGTTTATCCATGCCACAGTATAGCTAGTAGTAGATAGATAGATAGATAGATAGATAGATAGATAGATAGATAGATAGATAGATAGATAGATAGATAGATAAATAGATAGATAGATTCCACTTGAATCGTTCTGTAATGTAGAAGACGCTTCATAGCTCATCCAAGCCTTTTCTTCGGGGCTGATCAGTGGCAAGAAGATACCCCAGAATTATGATCCACTCCTTAAGATGCCGTAATCCAATCACCATGAAATGGTGTTGCTTGGACAACATTAATTGGACCTGAAGAAGTAGCTTGGAAGTCCTACGAAAACGTCTTCGTTGAATGTGTCCAACTGCTACTAGATATGTTGGTGAAATTGGTTAAAAACCTTGTTTTATCGGTCATGATCGGTTGTCTGTTGCCTGGTGCATAAAAGAGAATTGCCAAATCATCTTCGGCCTCATTACCACGATTAATAAAGGTGCATTACATGTCTGAAGGCCATCAATGCCTTTCATAGGATAGGCCAAAGGAGTCAACTGCAGTCAACTTATGTAACTCATTTCATAAATATATATTCTATTACTTTGTGTCTGAGTCGACCCATCTAAAGCTTCGTATTCAAAACTAGCAAACAAGTAGTATTTTACGAAAAGCTCAACCCACAACCTTTTCACAGGTCATCAAGGCCTGGTCTACTAATATCTCAACTTTTTCTAGGTTCTAGGGATTTAAGTGGTTTCTCCTGTGTGAACTTCTGTGAAGGTTCTCGTTTATCCATGCCACAGTATAGCTAGTAGTAGATAGAAAGATAGATAGATAGATAGATAGATAGATAGATAGATAGATAGATAGATAATAGATAGATAGATAGATAGATAGATAGATAGATAGATAAATAGATAGATAGATAGATTCCACTTGAATCATTCTGTAATGTAGAAGACGCTTCATAGCTCATCCAAGCCTTTTCTTCGGGGCTGATCAGTGGCAAGAAGATACCCCAGAATTATGATCCACTCCTTAAGATGCCGTAATCCAATCACCATGAAATGGGTTGCTTGGACAACATTAATTGGACCTGAAGAAGTAGCTTGGAAGTCCTACGAAAACGTCTTCGTTGAATGTGTCCAACTGCTACTAGATATGTTGGTGAAATTGGTTAAAAACCTTGTTTTATCGGTCATGATCGGTTGTCTGTTGCCTGGTGCATAAAAGAGAATTGCCAAATCATCTTCGGCCTCATTACCACGATCAATAAAGGTGCATTACATGTCTGAAGGCCATCAATGCCTTTCATAGGATAGGCCAAAGGAGTCAACTGCAGTCAACTTATGTAACTCATTTCATAAATGTATATTCTATTACTTTGTGTCTGAGTCGACCCATCTAAAGCTTCGTATTCAAAACTAGCAAACAAGTAGTATTTTACAAAAAGCTCAACCCAGAACCTTTTCACAGGTCATCAAGGCTTGGTCTACTAATATCTCAAGTTTTTCTAGGTTCTAGGGATTTAAGTGGTTTCTCCTGTGTGAACTTCTGTGAAGGTTCTCGTTTATCCATGCCACAGTATAGCTAGTAGTAGATAGAAAGATAGATAGATAGATAGATAGATAGATAATAGATATATAGATAGATAGATAGATAGATAGATAGATTCCACTTGAATCGTTCTGTAATGTTGAAGACACTTCATAGCTCATCCAAGCCTTTTCTTCGGGTCTGATCAGTGGCAAGAAGATACCCCAGAATTATGATCCACTCCTTAAGATGCCGTAATCCAATCACCATGAAATGGTGTTGCTTGGACAACATTAATTGGACCTGAAGAAGTAGCTTGGAAGTCCTACGAAAACGTCTTCGTTGAATGTGTCCAACTGCTACTAGATATGTTGGTGAAATTCTCCCCCTCCTCCTTAATAAACTACTCTCCCTTGGCATCGGAGATACTGCTCTCTCTTGGTTCTCATCCTACCTATCCCGACGCTCCTTCAGTGTCACCTACAATGGTGCCACCTCCCCCTCCCTCCCCCTCTCTGTTGGGGTCCCCCAAGGCTCTGTCCTTGGACCCCTTCTCTTCTCCATCTACACCTCCTCCCTGGGCAAACTCATACAATCTCACGGCTTCAACTATCACCTCTATGCTGACGACACCCAAATCTACCTCTCCACCCCTCACCTCACCCCCACTATCTCCGCCCGCATCACTCACCTCCTAAATGACATCTCAGACTGGATGTCGCTACACTTCCTCAAGCTCAACCTCTCCAAAACCAAGCTTCTCGTCTTTCCCCCTGCCAACACCCCCCCCCCCATCCTATCCATCATCACCAACAACTCCACTATCACTTCCGCCCCGCAAGCCAAAGTCCTTGGCGTCATTCTTGACGCGAACCTCTCCCTCCAACCGCATGTCAAATCACTCACAAACACATGCAGGCTCCATCTTCGCAACATTGCCAAGATACGCTCCTTCCTCACCCCAGACACCACCAAACTTCTAGTACACTCCCTCATCATCTCACGCCTTGACTACTGCAACTCCCTCCTCACTGGCCTACCCAAGTGCAGGCTCTCCCCGCTCCAGACCATCCTGAACTCAGCTGCCAGACTCATCCACCTCACCACCCGCTCCACCTCTGCCACCCCCCTCTGCCTCTCCCTCCACTGGCTCCCGATTGCCCAACGCATCAAATTTAAACTCCTAACCCTGACCTACAAAGCCGTTCACAACACTGCCCCTGACTACCTCACCAACCTTATCACCAAGTACCACCCTACCCGTACCCTTCGCTCCTCACAGGACCTCCTTCTATCCTGCTCCCTGGTCTCCTCCTCCCATGCACGACTGCAGGACTTCTCCAGGTCCTCCCCCATCCTCTGGAACTCACTGCCCCAATCCATCAGACTGTCGCCTTCCCTATTCACATTCAGGCGCTCCCTCAAAACCCATCTCTTCAGGGAAGCCTACCCCACCCTCACCTAACGGCCATCCTCCCTCATTCCTCCCACCACTTCATCCCCCTCAGCCACTTCCTACTGTACCTTTACCCCCTCCCTCCTAGATTGTAAGCTCGTAAGAGTAGGGCCCTCTTACCCCTCGTACATTGTTTGTTGTTGTTGTACTGTGCCATGTATTGTCCCCCCTATTGTACAGCGCTGAGCAAACCCTTTGGCGCTATATAAACTCGTAGTAATAATAATAATAATAATAATAATAATAAATTGGTTAAAAACCTTGTTTTATCGGTCATGATCGGTTGTCTGTTGCCTGGTGCATAAAAGAGAATTGCCAAATCATCTTCGGCCTCATTACCACGATCAATAAAGGTGCATTACATGTCTGAAGGCCATCAATGCCTTTCATAGGATAGGCCAAAGGAGTCAACTGCAGTCAACTTATGTAACTCATTTCATAAATGTATATTCTATTACTTTGTGTCTGAGTCGACCCATCTAAAGCTTCGTATTCAAAACTAGCAAACAAGTAGTATTTTACAAAAAGCTCAACCCAGAACCTTTTCACAGGTCATCAAGGCTTGGTCTACTAATATCTCAACTTTTTCTAGGTTCTGGGGATTTAAGTGGTTTCTCCTGTGTGAACTTCTGTGAAGGTTCTCGTTTATCCATGCCACAGTATAGCTAGTAGTAGATAGATAGATAGATAGATAGATAGATAATAGATAGATAGATAGATAGATAGATAGATAGATAGATAGATAGATAAATAGATAGATAGATTCCACTTGAATCATTCTGTGATGTAGAAGACACTTCCTAGCTCGTCCAAGACTTTTCTTGAGTCTGATCAGTGGCAAGAAGATACCCCAGAATTATGATCCACTCCTTAAGATGCCATAATCCAATCACCATGGAATGGTGTTGATTGGACAACATTCATTGGACCTGAAGAAGTATCTTGGAAGTCCTACGAAACGTCTTCGTTGAATGTGTCCAACTACTACTAGATATGTTGGTGAAATTGGTTAAAAACCTTGTTTTAGCAGTCACGATCGGTTGCCTGTTGCCTGTTGTATAAAAGAGAATTGCCAAATCATCTTCAGCCTCATTACCACGATCAATAAAGGTACAGTACATGTCTGAAGGTCATCAATGCCTTTCATAGGATAGGCCAAAGGAGTCAACTGCAGTCAACTTATGTAACTCATTTCATAAATGTATATTCTATTACTTTGTGTCTGAGTCGACCCATCTAAAGCTTCGTATTCAAAACTAGCAAACAAGTAGTATTTTACAAAAAGCTCAACCCACAACCTTTTCACAGGTCATCAAGGCCTGGTCTACTAATATCTCAACTTTTTCTAGGTTCTGGGGATTTAAGTGGTTTCTCCTGTGTGAACTTCTGTGAAGGTTCTCGTTTATCCATGCCACAGTATAGCTAGTAGTAGATAGATAGATAGATTCCACTTGAATCGTTCTGTAATGTAGAAGATGCTTCATAGCTCATCCAAGCCTTTTGTTGAGTCTGATCATTGGCAGGGAGATACCCCAGCATTATGATCCACTCCTTAAGCTGCCTTAAACCAATCACCATGGAATGGTGTTGAATGGACAACATTCAATGGACCTGAAGAAGTAGCTTGGAAGTCCTACGAAACATCTTCGTTGAATGTGTCCAACTACTACTAGATATGTTGGTGAAATTGGTTAAAAACCTTGTTTTATCGGTCATGATCGGTTGCTTGGTGTATAAAAGAGAATTGCCAAATCATCTTCGGCCTCATTACCACGATCAATAAAGGTACTTTACATGTCTGAAGGTCATCAATGCCTTTCATGGGATAGGCCAAAGGAGTCAACTGCAGGCAACTTATGAAACTCATTTCATAAATGTATATTCTATTGTTTTGTGTCTGAGTCGACCCATTCTTTTCCACACCGCTAAAAAGTTTACCTAGTCCCAAAAGATGTTAAAATCCAGCCCACCAGACTCCACGTATCATGGGGTGGCCATATTTTTTTTTGTAGACAAAACCTTGTAATCCATACCACATAACTGGAGGATCTTGCGATCCAGCTCATCGTAGCTTTCGCTGGGCTCGGGTTCAGGTTTGGTTAGTGATTTCTCCGAGGAACCAGTCGACAGGCTGACTTGGGGCCACGGCTGGAGCTTCTGGACAGCCAACACCCGCTTGCATGCCACCACCATCTGTAAAACAGAAAAACATTACGGTTTTTCAAAAGGCGCCATATTGGCGGTGAAATCTCCAGACGCGGCAGAAGTTTCCATGTTACAATAACACCTCCAGATGTCTCTGCAGAACCCAATATGTAATGTAGCACAGCCTGTTGAAAACCATCTGCCACTTGTTTTCTGAAGCTCCCATTGTTTTTTCTGTCTGAATACTAGTTGACTGCAACAGTTGATATACTATTATCCATATATCAAATGCGATTTGTAACCAGATCGCTCAGCGTAGCTGCATTTTAATTTCTACAACATTCTGTATTTATAAAGTATATGCAAATCCACAACCACGTTAGTGTCTCCATTGGGAGATCTCCCCTCTATTCCCTGGTCTGTAGACAACTCATAATTTTTCCATTGCATTTAGTCCCAGTGATGGTGGTCACCAGGCCATATAGAGCGTAAAATCACCACTCCATCCTACATAAAGTGATGGACTTGACTTAGGTTATTTCTACCTGTAGCATTTTGGAGCCACCAGAGAAGATGAGTCAGTAAACTGATAACACGTAGTCTAAAACACAATGGGCATTGGGCCCCTAAACTGGAACCTTCAACTCCAAGGGTTCTCTGGTTGCCCAGTTAATGGAGGTCTCACGTTTAAAGCCTTTAGGGTTTACGGTTTGAGTATCCCCATTACCTATGGCATTGGCAACCTATACGGCAAGTAGTATCCATTGTTATTTAATTATTATATAATAAAAATATATAGTAGTTTGCGGTGATGGGACACATGGGGCACTTGAAGCTTCCTTCAAAGCTGGCTTCATATGTGGTAACCCATGAGCCTTGGGCGTGCACTGTGCCACACATTGTGTTACTGCAGCTCATTCATTTAAAAGGATTTCCTAGTACATCAAAACTCACCAAAAAAAAAAATACTTTTATGTAGATGAGGACAAGGGCCTCTTTCTACCCGTAGCATTTTGGAGCCACCAGTGAAGATGAGTCAGTAAACTGATAACATGTAGCCTGAAACACAATTGGCATTGGGCTCCCTAAACTGGAACCTTGGGCTCCAGGGGACCTTTGGTCGCCTGGTCAATGGAGGTCTCACGTTTAAAGCCTTTGGGGCTTACGGTTGGAGTATCCCCATTACCTATGGCCTTGGCAGTCTATACGGCAAGTAGTCTCCATTGTTATTATATATATAATAAAGAAATATAGTAGCTTGCGGTGATGGGACACATGGGGCACTTGAAGCTTCCTTCAAAGCTGGTGTCAGGGCTCTATCCTCAGCAGAAGTGTTAGGAGACCTGGCACCCCTGCCAGTACCTTGCATGGCTGCAGAAGTTCACATCGGCTCAAATTTGGTGCCAAACGGCCTTTATAAGGAAGCCCTGCACTACTCTCAGGTGCTATTTGATCTCTGGCTCCCTAGTGATGGGACACATGGGGCACTTGAAGCTTCCTTCAAAGCTGGTGTCAGGGCTCTATCCTCAGCAGAAGTGTTAGGAGACCTGGCACCCCTGCCAGTACCTTGCATGGCCGCAGAAGTTCACATCGGCTCAAATTTGGTGCCAAACGGCCTTTATAAGGAAGCCCTGCACTACTCTCAGGTGCTATTTGATCTCTGGCTCCCTAGTGATGGGACACATGGGGTACTTGAAGCTTCCTTCAAAGCTGGTGTCAGGGCTCTGTCCTCGGCAGAGGAGTTAGGAGACCTGGCACCCCTGCCAGTACCTTGCATGGCCGCAGAAGTTCACATCGGCTCAAATTTGGCGCCAAACGGCCTTTATAAGGAAGCCCTGCGCTACTCTCAGGTCCCGGTTGATCTCTGGCTGCCTAGTACCTTCGTTCCCTTCCTATCCTGACTTGTGATTTCCTGTTAATGACTCGGCTTGCTCCTGGGCCTGTCTGCTCTGTTTAACCCTGACCTAGCTTGTCTAACGGATCTTCTCTCCTGCTCTCTGTGTATGACCTCGGCTGTCCCTTTTGGCTACGTCTGCTCCGATCCCCACCTGGCACCCGACCTTGGATCAAACTGGTTATCCTGTGATCCTCTGTTCTCTGAAAGACCTGCATACCTCGCACAGGCGCCCCCTGCCTGCAGACCCCATCTCAGTGCTTCAGCCGTGCTCCTGGGTGGACCACCAAACAAGCACTCCCACAGGCGACCTGTGCTACTCTGGGCATGACTCCTGCTGTCCCACCTTCAGGGGAGTCTGGAACTTAGCCGAAAGGGAAGCCCTCTCTCCTTTGGCCTCTGTCACCAGGTACGTGATAGCTGGCTTCACATTGTTGAGATGTGGTAACTCATGAGCTTTGGCGCGCACCGTACCACATACAGTATCGACATGCATTGTGTAACTGCAGCTCATTCGTTTAAATGGATTTTCTAATATGATGTGGTAACTCATGAGGTTTGACGCGCGCTGTGCCACACACATTGACACGCTCATTCCTTGTGTTACTGCGCGCTCATTCATTTCAATGGCTTTCCTAATGCACCAAAAAAAGATACTTTTATGTAGATGAGGACAAGGGCCTCTTTCCCACAACCCTGGACGGTGGTTGTGGGGGGGGGATTATCGGAATCTGATACCAGATACTAGGCCCTCCCCCATGAGTATGCACCACAATGCATACTGTGTGTTATGGCATGCTACAAAGCACATTCATTGGCATAGTGTGTTGGGGTGCCATTAAGAATGAACGGCACCAAAGCGCACCAATGAACACCTTTGTCGTGGTAATTTGCAAATGAACGCATGTGATACTGCAGTGCAGCCCAGCATATACAAAAGGTATCCCGATACAGTATATGGGGCCATTTGGAAGTCTGCAAGCCAAGAGTAAACCAGTAAGTGGCCGCAAGGCTACTAAACTATACAAGGATACTAAACACGACCCCCAATCCCAAACCGGGAATACACCAGACCCCTTTTAGGTCAACCTAACCCTTCATATCTTTTAGAAAGCCACCTGCTCTTGGATTTTCAAGATATAAAAGCAGCTAAAAAAAATTTGCTGACGTCGATTTTAAATGCAAGTGTAGCGTTAACCCAAAATACATGAATAATCTTCAATACAAAAAAAATAATGTGAAAGCAATATGAAAAAAAAAAAGAACGTCTTACTCTGCGTGAGGACGTCATAGAATCCGTGATGCGTTTCACGATATGCAATATGACAAATGTCAGAAAAAAGATCCTCAAATCTTACTCTGCGTGAGGACGTCATAGAATCCGTCCTATGCGTTTCACCATATGGTGACGTCATCACGCTATATACCCAGTCCCAATGCTAATCCTCAAAGCTAACTTTTAACCTGATCCACCCAATAGACTTCCTAATTTGGTGGTGTCCCATTGGGAGCGTCACTTTTACTTTTTGACCAGGGGCGGACTGACAACTCATGGGGCCCCCGGGCAATTGGGGATCATGGGGCCCCTGTGTCCTTGCCCAAACTCAAAAAAGCCTATGAAAAAGGTACCAGGGGCATCTCATGGGGCCCCCTTACTGACCACAGGCCCTCGAGCAGTGCCCGAGTTTCCAAATGGTCAGTCCGCCCCTGCCCTCCACTGACCTCTGTCCTCCACCCTTCTCTGCCAATCCCTCCACTGGCCTCCATTCAGTGTCCCCATCCCTTCTGTCAATCCCTCCACTGGCCCTCCTCAATGTCCTCCACCCCTCTCTGCCAATCCCTCCACTGACCTCCACTCAGTGTCCTCCACCCCTCTCTGCCAATCCCCTCCTCTGCTTAGTGGCCTCCACCCCTCTCTGCCAATCCCTTCACTGACCTCCACTCAGTGTCCTCCACCCCTCTCTGCCAATCCCTCCACTGGCCTCTCCTCAATGTCCCCCCCTGTGTCCTTGCCTAAACTCAAAAAAGCCTATGAAAAAGGTACCAGGGGCATCTCATGGGGGCCCCTACTGACCACGGGCCCTCGAGCAGTGCCCGAGTTTCCAAATGGTCAGTCCGCCCCTGCCCTCCACTGACCTCCAGTGCCCTCCACCCCTTTCTACCAATCCCTTCACTGACCTCCATTCAGTGTCCTCCATCCCTCTCTGCCAATCCCTCCACTGCCTCTCTGCTCAATGTCCTCCACCCCTCTCTGCCAATCCCTTCACTGACCTCCGCTCAGTGTCCTCCACCCCTCTCTGCCAATCCCTTCACTGACCTCCGCTCAGTGTCCTCCACCCCTCTCTGCCAATCCCTCCACTGACCTCCACTCAGTGTTCTCCACCCCTCTCTGCCAATCCCTTCACTGACTCAGTGTCCTCCACCCCTCTCTCCTTCACTGACCTCTGCTCAGTGTCCTCCACCCCTCTCTGCCAATCCCTTCACTGACCTCCACTCAGTGTCCTCCACCCCTCTCTGCCAATCCCTCCACTGGCCTCTCCTCAATGTCCCCTGTGTCCTTGCCTAAACTCAAAAAAGCCTATGAAAAAGGTACCAGGGGCATCTCATGGGGGCCCCTACTGACCACGGGCCCTCAGGCAGTGCCCGAGTTTCCAAATGGTCAGTCCGCCCCTGTTTTTGACACACAGACACAAAAAGTGAAAATGAATCTCTGAGCAGAAGGGAAGGGAACTCGTCTTTTAGATGGTTGTTATTGGAACAGGCCACCCTAACCATGGTGGAAAAAAAACAAAAAAAAAAACCTAGATACACAGAATATAACTGGATATAACATTTATAGGTAACGTTGATCCAGGGAATATCCGATTGCCTCTCGGGAAGGAATTTTTTTCCCTGAAGGAGCAAATTGGATCGTGCTTTGCTGGGTTTATTTGCCTTCCTCTGGATCAACTGTGGGTGTAGGATTATAACTTTTTTTTTTTAACCACTTCCCTACCGGGCACTTATACCCCCTTATTTACCAGGCCAATTTTCAGCTTTCAGCGCTGTTGCATTTTGATTGACAATTGCGCGGTCATGCAACATTGTACCCATATGAAATTTTTAGCATTTTTTTTCTCACAAATAGAGCTTTCTTTTGGTGGTATTTAATCGC